ACAATCCCAGTATATTGTCAGGTTGTGTACATAGTGTAATATTCCTGGACACAGTCAGGTTATAAACATAGTGTAATGATTCTGTACAATCCCAGTATATTGTCAGGTTGTGTACATAGTGTAATATTCCTGGACACAGTCAGGTTATAAACATAGTGTAATGATTCTGTACAATCCCAGTACATTGTCAGGTTGTGTACATAGTGTAACATTCCTGGACATAGTCAGGTTATAAACATAGTGTAATGATTCTGTACAATCCCAGTACATTGTCAGGTTGTGTACATAGTGTAACATTCCTGGACATAGTCAGGTTATAAACATAGTGTAATGATTCTGTACAATCCCAGTACAAAGTGCTTGTGGAAAGGTTAGAAAAGGATAATGGAAGCTAGCTAGTTATTTTAATGGTATAATGCTTCTGGTTAAGTTTGTAATTTATTGCATGTTAATCAGCAGATCTGATGGATCTATTGCTGAAGACAAAATTGTTTCCTGATTATGTCTTTGCCTCCTGAAGACAGATCCACTCCTTGAAAGTGCTAGGGTTTAATTTTAATTTTTTTAAATTAACACCATTTTTGGCGATTGTTAAGTGATTTGGTTAAAGGATTACTGATAAAAATGTTTGTGATATAGTCGTTGAAACTTGAAGAAAAGTGAAACGAAATGAAGAATTGTAAGAGCATGATTGACACCTCCAGTAAAAAAAGAAAACAGTATAGTGGAAATTAGTATTTTAAAACAATGTTAGCTTATAATTGTGTATTTTCAGGGGATTATTTTGGGATGTATCTTTTTGAATACATGCATCTTGATATGTATATTGCTAAAATAGTAGTTTGTTACCTAACCATCATAGTTTGTATAGCAAAGCTAAAAAAAACTTTCATCTCATAATCTGAATCTTTAAACTGGACTGTGAAAAAAACATTGTGTTGTGTACACACAACGTGACGAAAGTTGACCACTTTCCTGGGAGGTTTAAAAAAATAAGTAAAACAAACCTTCAATTGATCATACCCCCTGATACTGTATAAATATCTCAATCATACCCCATGATACTGTATAAACATCTCAATCATACCCCCTGATACTGTATAAATATCCTTCATTCAATCACACCCCCGATACCTGTATAAACATCTCAATAATACCCCTGATACCTGTACAAACATCTGAATCATACCCCCTGATACTGTATAAACATCTGAATCATACCCCCTGATACTGTATAAACATCTGAATCATACCCCCTGATACTGTATAAACATCTGAATCATACCCCCCGATACTGTATAAACATCTCAGTCATACCCCCTGATACTGTATAAACATCTCAGTCATGCCCCATGATACTGTATAAATATCCTTCATTCAATCACACCCCATAATACCTGTATAAACATCTCAATAATACCCCCTGATACCTGTACAAACATCTCAATCATACACCCTGATACTGTATAAACATCATTCAATCATACCCCCTGATACTGTATAAACATCCTTCATTCCATCATACCCCCCTGATACTGTATAAACATCCTTCATTCGATCATACCCCCCTGATACTATATAAACATCACACTATTCATGAAAATAACATCCAAACAATAGCCATGCAAATATACCATGATGTAACAACCACATATCTAATTAAAACAGATGGTATGGTACGTAACAACCACATACCTAACTAAAACAGATGGTATGTAACAACCACATATCTAATTAAAACAGATGGCATGTAACAACCACATACCTAATTAAAACAGATGGTATGTAACAGCCACATATCTAATTAAAACAGAGGGTATGGTACGTAACAACCACATATCTAATTAAAACAGATGGTATGTAACAACCACATATCTAATTAAAACAGATGGTATGTAACAACCACATATCTAATTAAAACAGAT